CTGCAGGAAGGGAGCCTGCTCTTTCCCTCCTCACTCACCTCCACCAGCGGAGGAGCTCCTCCTGCAGAAGGGACCCATCTGTCCCTCAGGCATCGGAAGCAGAAAAGCAGTTGAGATCAACCAGGAGAACCATGAGCAGAACCCTCCCCACCACTAGTTTGTAGCCTGGGCGATTCACCTAGAGTCACCTCAAAGGTCTAGGAAATGCCTTCAACCATCTATAAACTCTGCACCCCATACTGCTCACGTTCCCCACACACACACCACGTGCTCCTGCAATCAGACCATGTACACTGCCCTCCTCCATGGTACTGCCTTTGCCTAGAAAGCACGTGTGCCCCCTACAGATGCTCCCCTTGGCAAACATGACCTTTCGTGGGATGGGTGGGCTCTGCTTTCACCTTGTCCCTGCAATGCGAGATCTCGCACAACACACCATTTTCACGCTCACCAAGTACTCAGATGTGACTTAAACAGTGGTCACGGGGAGGCACACACTTTGTCAACAATGAAACGTGGTGAAGGGACTACATGAGTACTTCCTGTACTCACACGGGTGCCAACTGAAGATCGTCTTGGACGGCTGACTTCAGAGATGTTAGCTTCTGGAGACCACCATGTGCGGGCTCTCAGCAGACACGTGTGATGCAAGCGGCTCTCAGCAGACACGAACGAGGGGCACTGGACTCATCCTGTGAATTCGTTCAAAGGAAGAAGAGTCAGACGCTGCCCGAGCACTGGCTGAAACCCTCCAGCGCAACAAGCTCTTTCTTGCCTCGAGGATCTCTCCTCCTGCAGGTCTCTTCTTTCCACTCGCCGCCTAACCTCTGCTCACCTACAGGTCTCAGCAGACTCGCCACCACCTCAGAGAAGCCCCCCGGGTTACCAACACCAAGCAAATCTGTCCCTCCCCAGCTAACCATCCTAGCACCGTGTCTCCCCTCGATACCACTGATCACTCTGTGCAATAATCTATTTAGGAAGTTTCTTCTTACTTGGTTTCTGTCCTTCCCACGGGCTCAAAGGATCAAGAGCGGAGGGGCCATGTGTCTGCCACAGCAAGCTCTCAATAAATATTTTCTGAGTAGAGCTGGGCTTGCAAACGCTGGCTTATACGACTGTCCCCTCTGTGTTTTTATAGCCCAGGAAGAATGTTTCTCACATGTTTAAATGGTTGGGGAAAGAATACTTGGTGGCACATGGAGAGTATATGAGATTGATATTTCAGTGTCCACAAAGAAAGTGTGCGGGAACACAGCCACATCCGTGCACTCCCTTATCATCTGTGGCGGCGTCCGCGCCACACCGTCGGGCGTCACTAGCTGCGCAAGTGATTGTTTGGCTTCAAAGCTGGAAATATCGACTGTCGGACACTTTATTTTTTTTTTAATTTTTTATTGTTATGTTAATCACCATATGTTACATAATTTGTTTTGGTGTAGTGTTCCATGATTCATTGTTTGTTCATAACACCCAGTGCTCCATGCAGAACGTGCCCTCTTTAATACCCATCACCGGGTTAACCCATCCCCCTACCCTCCTCCCCTCTAGAACCCTCAGTTTGTTTTTCAGAGGCCATCATCTCTCCTGGTTCGTCTCCCCCTCTGACTTACTCCCCTTCATTCTTCCTCTCCTGCTATCTTCTTCTTTTTCTTTTTTCTTAAAATATGTTGCGTTATTTGTTTCAGAAGTACAGATCTGTGATTCAACAGTCTTGCACAATTCACAGCGCTCACCGTAGCACATACCCTCCCCAATGTCTATCACCCAGCCACCCCATCCCTCCCACCCCCCATCACTCCAGCAACACTCAGTTTGTTTCCTGAGATTAAGAATTCCTCATATCAGTGAGGCCATATGTTACATGTCTTTCTCTGATTGACTTATTTCACTCAGCATAACACCCTCCAGTTCCATCCACGTCATTGCAAATGGCAAGATCTCATTCCTTTTGATGGCTGCATAATATTCCATTGTGTATATATACCACATCTTCTTTATCCATTCATCTGTCGATGGGCATCTGGCTCTTTCCACAGTTTGGCTATTGTGGACATTGCTGCTATAAACATTGGGGTACACGTACCCCTTCGGGTCCCTACATTTGTATCTTTGTGGTAAATACCCAGTAGTGCAATTGCTGGATCGAATGGTAGCTCTAATTTCAACTGTTTGAGGAACCTCCATACTGTTTTCCAGAGTGGTTGCACCAGCTTGCATTCCCACCAACAGTGTAGGAGGGTTCCCCTTTCTCCACATCCCCGCCAACATCTGTCGTTCCCTGGCTTGTTAATTTTAGCCATTCTGACGGGTGTGAGGTGGTATCTCATTGAGGTTTTGATTTGGATTTCCCTGATGCCGAGCGATGTTGAGCACTTTTTCATGTGCCTGTTGGCCATTTGGATGTCTTCTTTGGAAAAATGTCTGTTCATGTCTTCTGCCCATTTCTTGATTGGGTTATTTGTTCTTTGGGTGTGGAGTTTGATAAGTTCTTTATAGATTTTGGATACTAGCCCTTTATCTGCTATGTCATTTGCAAATATTTTCTCCCATTCTGTCGGTTGTCTTTTGGTTTTGTGGACTGTTTCTTTTGCTGTGCAAAAGCTTTTTATCTTGATGAAATCCCAATAGTTCATTTTTGCCCTGGCTTCCTGTGCCTTTGGTGATGTTTCTAGGAAGAAGTTGCCGCGGCTGAGGTCGAAGAGGTTGCTGCCTGTGTTCTCCTCAAGGATTTTGATGGACTCCTGTCTCACGTTTAGGTCTTTCAACCATTTGGAGTCTATTTTTGTGTGTGGTGTAAGGAAATGGTCCAGTTTCATTCTTCTGCACGTGGCTGTCCAATTTTCCCACACCATTTGTTGAAGAGACTGTCTTTTTTCCACTGGACATTCTTTCCTGCTTTGTTAAAGATGAGTTGACCATAGAGTTGAGGGTCCATTTCTGGGCTCTCGATTCTGTTCCATTGATCTATGCGTCTGTTTTTGTGCCAGTACCATACTGTCTTGATGATGACAGCTTTGTAATAGAGCTGGAAGTTGTCGGACACTTTACATGAAAAGTTTTTCAGCCTCTGGAATAGAGTCCTACAGGGGAGTTCAGCTTTGAATCTACTCAAGAATATATATATCTTTAGGGACACCTGAGTGGCTCAGTCAGCGAGGCGTTTGCCTTCGGCTCAGGTCACCCTCCCAGGGTCCTGGGATCGAGTCTCACATCGGGCTCCCTGCTCAGCGGGGAGCCTGCTTCTCCCTCTCCCTCTGCTGCTCCCCCTGGCTCACGCCCTCTCCCTCTCTCTCTCTGACAAATAAATAAAATCTTTAAAAAAAAGAATATATACATATTTTTAGTTGTTGACATTTACACAAAATTAGCATATGCCTTGAAACAATTAACCTATAAATCTATTCTTCATGCTTTAGAATATGAAGTATAGTCCCACTTGTTAAGTCATATTCACAAGAGAATACCACACTGGAGAAAAATTACTATTCTGTAGACTTTCGTAAACAGGGATCTTGCTTTATTGAAGTTAAGCTTCCAGCAACAAATTCGTAGGTTCAGTCAGTGTCCCAGAAAGGTTATTTCCCACACCCTTCCCCCCGTCCGTCTCCCCCCCGCCACAGATGGCATTTGAAACCGCAATCAATCTTCCAGCCTGGCATTTCATGTCGGATTCTGGTGGAAATGGAATGCCGTGCTGTCAGCACTGACCCTTGACCTCCCACTGCCGGGATGACAGAACCACCTGCCACGGTCATCTCTTCTGCCCACTCACCATAACAGTATCGGGCAAGACTAAGATCGTATGGATGTGGATTTGAACAACCGGGCGACTCCCCCCTCGCGAGGCAGCAGAGATCCAAATCATCATTTTCCTTTCTCTTGTCCACCCCTTTTATTCGCAGAAAATAGAGTTTAAGGCATCAGCATGGAAACGCTTTGACCCATATTGGATCCTTTGTGCTCACGACCCCTGGTGACTGACAAAGAAGAACAAACAGGTCAAAAGAGATTAAGTCACAATGCCTACCACAGCGGTATTACTGCAAGAAACCCTACCTGCCGAAGGAAAACAGCACAGGAAAGTCTAAAGGCCCGTGCTCAAAGGACGCTTTTCAAAACAGTCGTGGCGTTGTTCTCACCCACTGGCGATTCTGCCCCACACGGGTCATCAGGCAATGTCTAGAGACATTTTTGGTCCTCATGGTTGGGCAGGGACTACTGGCATCTAGCAGGTAGAGACCAGAGATGCCCTCAAATATCCTGTGATGCACGAGACAGTCCCCCAGCACAGAGAATCATCCACCCAGCCTTCCACCATGAAGGAGGAGTCGGTCTCAAATGTCAGCAGCATCAAGGTTTAGAAACTGTGCACTAGGGCACTGGTCCAATAATCACTAAAGTGGGTGTGATCACAGAGGTAGGAAAAGAAGCTGGGAGGGGAGATCCAGGTCATGTCCAGTTTGTTCCAATGACCACACACAGCAACAATGTTCGTATCCATGACGCCTCCACTATTATAATGGTAAGTGACGTGAAAGTAAGTCTCTTTAGACACAATTTATAATCCAAGTTATAGTCACAGAACAAGACCAAGAGGTTATGTCTGCTTTATTATCAGGAACGCGTACACTGATGAGTTGGCGAATTCGCAAATCATAAGCATGCTTCATTACCCCTTCCTGTCTCCGTTTATCTGTAATCACTGGACCTGTCATTTACTTGCTCATCTGTCCGTCACTCTCCTGCCCTTGTCAGTTCAGTTGTACAAGGCTACAAACCACAACAGGGATCTAAGGGATGGAGTCAGCAACCACCTCCACCCCCCACCCCCGTCCTTGATTTTGAGATGCAAAAAGCCCTTGAAATCAGAAAATTTTTGTAAACTCCAAGTTGTACTTGGCAGCAAAACCCCACCTGAACTGTGTGGACGTATCAGGGTGTTATCTTAACCTGTCAGTCACTGCTGCTGGCTGGTACCATGCTGCTTTGTTGTGACATCAGGCTTACCTGTGCTGGGAAAACGTCAAAAAGAGTTCAAGACACCCCATGAGTAGCAGTGAAAAGAAGGAGAGAAAGCACCTGACACTAGCAGCAGCCGAGAAGTGTGGTCCTCAAAGAACTCTGGTTGTGCTGTGTCTCAGAAGGAGGTGGTAACAGGAACATGGTAAAGAAACGGAAAGGCAGGTTGCTGAATTCTGGCTGACTGGCTTGCCATTGGATGACCCATCCTCCCAGTCTGTCCAGTACTGAGGGGTCCCAGTGTTCAAACTGAGACATCCCTGGGCAAACGTGGATGAGCCGGCCACCCTACTTACTTGCAAAGGTTGGCAGAATACAGAAGTAACCACCGCAAGCCAAGTGTGAATACTCAGAAGATTGACTGAAGGAGTTTAAGAAGCTAATGGAAACTCATGGTGAAAACCATCTTCTGAACATGAAGGAGTGGAACATGCTGTTGAGGAATTTGCAAGAAGAGCCTTGGTGGATGCCACAGCACGTGTCCTGACATCAAGTGAGGACAGAGGTCACCTTCCCTGCCAACTGCTGGTTGTGTTGATAACCGATGGCTCTCCGCTAAGTGGGTCTTTGGAAACTGCTCTCAGCCAGAGAGACCTGCCTTTCCCAAGGTGATACCACCCCCCCACACACACCCTCAAGGTAACCATGGCTGGGTCCCAAAGGTGTACCC